CTCTTTCCCCAACTTCCTGAAAGTGTCTTTGCTGAATCGACAACTATTAGGAACTGTCTTTATTTCAGAGCTAGTTGGAAACATAAGCATCCAGCATTCTGACACAGATTTCCTGGCCTACTCCAAACATTTCTGCTCGGATTGATCTGCCCACCTCTATCGCAGATGGGCAAAATGAAACAAAAAGGCAAGGCATTTTCCCTCTCCCTGAGAACCTCAAAACTAGCCTTGAAGGACAGTTAGGTTTTAGGACAGAAGGACTTAGAACGACCACTCATTTCAATCCAATGCACCCTTACATGCCTTTTTCCAGTTATTCCGTTTATCTAGCCAGGTAGTCCTGTGAGTTGTTTCTGACAAGGAGGAAGTCATTGAATCCAACCTTCTTTACCCTTCACAGTGACTGACTTGGGAGCGACCCCTTTCACCTAGTGGACAGGGAAAATTCCCATCAACCCCCCTCTGTCCACTCTCAACTTCTGAAACAGGTTTCTTTGAAACATTTCAACTTTCCCTTTTGAGAACAAGATCAGTCTTTATGATAGGGATGGGCAAACTCAGCAACTTCCCCTCCTTATATTTTCACTCCAGACAATAAGTGGTGATAAGAGAAGGATTATGATGGCCTTTTGAGTTCTAATTTGCAGCCTTTTTTAATCTTTGAGATTTTCGTCCCTAGTTCCTAAAGAATAACCCCTATATTAGCTAGCTTGGGCTGCCTTAACAACATACCATAGATCGGCTTAAACATTAGAAATGTTTTCTCTCACAGCTCTGGAGGCTGGAAGTCCAACATTAAGATGTCTTCAGGGTCGGTTTCTGGTGGAGACTCTCTTCCCAGCTTATAGATAGCTGCCTTACTGTGTCTTCATGTGGCCTTTTTTTTCTGTGCACATACAGAGTAAAAGAGATCAATCTCTGGTATCTCTTTCTCTTATAAGGATACCAAGTCCTATCAAATCAGGGCCCTCATGGCCTCATTTAACCTTATTTACCTCCTTTAAGGACCTGTTTCCATATTCAGTCACTTTGGGAGTTAGGGCTTCAGCATATGAATATTTGAGGGTCGGGGGGAGGGACTCTATTCAATCCATAACAACCATGTAGCCATAATTGCAAAGTAATCAGTAATAAAGTTATTTAACTGTTTTCCTTCCTTTAGCAATTCTATACCATGCCAGCAAGAGATGGATTTATGAAGATATAATTATCTTTAAAAGAGAGACAGGAAATGGGCGTGAAATTACAAGTAATTTTAGATAGAATTTCCATCTATTTCAGATTTTATGCTTGGGGCTTAAGCAGTCTTAGCCAGCACGAGAGAGCCAGGAGGCTACTCAGGTCCCACTCCTGCTCAGGCCTCTTCATATTGGAGGTGCTTTGTGAATTGTATCCCTGAATCCAGGGGAGACTCAGAAAGATACAGAGTTAAGGAGGAAGGGAAGCAAGAGAGAGCTGGAGTAAGGCAGAGGAGGAAATACACCCACATTCTACCTGCCCCGACACTTGCCAGTTCCTTTAATATACCTGGCCTGCCAGGTGCAAAGTCTGTTCTGCCAAGAGGTGTACCTTTTAGCAGCATGGTGTCTGAAAGCAGAGGAACTTGATGGGCTGAACAAAATGTGCAAAATGATTTTTCTTCCTAATATACACAAGAGAGGAATAGCTCGTGGGGAAAGTAAACGTGAGAATGCGAACCCAGTCATGGCCCCAAACCTTAATAGGTGCCCGTGGTGAGTCTAAGGGAGGGTGTGAGGTTGCCCCTTAATGGGGTAAACATCTTGTATCTTAATAACTTGCTAATAACAAAGCCACGTACACTGGTAGTAAAAGACCCCTGGGCATCATGATGTGGAAGGAATAGATACGATCTCCAACTGAAGACAGGAGCCGGACGAACCGAGAAAGGAACACCCAGCTCCAGAAGTTGGCCCAGGTCTCCTGCTCCAGACAAGCTTCTTGGGAGGGATCTGCTGGTTCTTTGTAGGAAAATGGAATGTGAGTGTGCCCTGTGTTTGGCCTCAGAGCCCTTGTCTTACTCTGAGTAGTGGCTGTAGCTCCAGTGGTTCTGCCATACGCATAGTCAGAGGCTGGCTCTGAGGGGTCCAGGAGCCATGAGGACCACCTGCCTAGCCTCGCAGCCTCTGCCTGAGAGCAGACCTGGGTGATTGGCCTGGTCAAAGGGGCCTATTCTAATGTCTACTTGGGGCAAACTGAGCTTACACGCAGACTCCTTGCTTTACGTTTTCATACTAGAGAAGGAAAATGTCAGGTTCTAGTTGTTTGAGAATTCAGAGCTTCTGACCCAGTTAATCAAGAAGGTGACATCACAAGTTAAAGCGCTTCTTCCTCTGGGAAAATAAGTGGTAGAATTGGCCCCCTTGTGTGACTCTGCGCATCGAGATCTCCACATGACATAAGATCCTGGCATTGCAGGCCATCCAGAGGCAGCTGGAGGAGGTGGAGGAGCGGCAGAGGGCTTCCGAGATCCAGGGCGTGAGGCTGGAAAAGGCGCTGAGAGGAGAAGCAGGTAGGCTTCCCGGCGGATCCGCAGCCCCCCGCCTGGGCCCTGTCTGTGGTCCGAAAACAGTGCCGGTTTAACCATCTGGGGGAACAGGGACTCTTTGTCCCTTTCTGTGGAGCTGTCAACAGCAACGTGCAGTGCTAAATCCATGACTGCTTCACGTTTTCCCAATCAACCTGGCGGTTCCATTGGAAATTGCCTGTGGGCCTTGCCACTGGGTTTCTGGTCCATCCAGTTATCCTCTGCTAGTGCGAATGTTCTTTACAATTCAGAGGTTAAGATAAATTCTGGAGAAGTATTTGGGCATTCGAGCAATGTTGGTGGTGATTCAAAGCCCGGATTTGGAGTCAAAATCCTGGTTTCTCCCTTTACTCACTATGTGACCTTGGGCCAGTCACATACATTCTAAATTGTTATGAACTTTGTTTTTTTCTCTAAGATGGGATAATAATGGTTTTCTACCTTATAGAGCTGATGTAAGGATTAAAGAAGAATATATATGTATATAATTTTTTAATCCATATATGTGTAAATATGAATCAGCACTTTGCCTGGTACACAATAAAGCACTAAATGATAACTATTCCGTGGATAGCTTCAGAGTCAAACAGAATTTATCTGGTGAAGACTTACCGTAAGTTGGACATGAAGATAGTCTGTCTAGAATGATGAGCATAGCACAGTTTCTGCCTTTGAGAAGTTTATAGTCCGTCGAGGGACAGACATGTAAAGAAATAAACCACAATACAGGAGGACAAGTGCAGTGATAGAAGCAAGCATTAGGGTGCAAGGGGAACAGAATCAAGAAATTCCTAACTGAGATCTGGGAAGAGGGGTAGTCAAGAAGGCTTCCTGGAAGGGGTGATCTACTAAGATGAGAAACAAGAGGAACAGGAGTTAACTAGTGAGGTGAAGAGATTGTGCTGGCAGAGGGAGGAGCACCTGCAAAGGCCATATGTAAAATGCGAAAAGATATGAAATGCCTTAATGAATGAGGAGCCAGTGAAGGGTTTTGTGGTGAGGGATGACTTAAAGAAATCAACATATTTTTTTTGGAAATCACCCAGGGGCTGAGTGGCTAGTGAATTGGAAGGGGCCCTTAGATCTTCTGGGGAGTGTGATCTTTAGATCTTTAGCTGTGTGATGTGATGATGTCTTTAGCATTCTGTACTTTGGATCTAAAGTGTGAAAAACCAAATACCAAAAACACGTATCTGTCTGTACAACCATGAAAATAATGTGTTACTTGTTAAACACATAGTGAAGGGTTAGGATTTCAATTCTCTTAAAAGCTTAGTTATTCGAGAATGATGACGCTAGCAGGGGCAAACTCAGATTTTGTGAGGCCTGAAGCTCATACAAAGTCATGTCCTCGAAACTGTGAGGACTGCTCCCAGAGCCTTGCAAGGAAGGGCCCATCCAAGTGAGGGGTTCTGTGGTTTCAGCTTTATCAGCTGTATGGTTAATTTGTCTCTGAATATCAGGGAAATGTTGGGGTCTGACTTTACCCATATGTGCCTCAGTTTCCTTGTTTGTAAAATAAGAGTGATAATTATATCTGTTTCTTGGATTTGTGGTGAGGATTGGCTAAAACAGTTTATGTGAAAGCCTTCGTATACTGGCTGTGAGATAGACGATTAATAACTTTTGTTTTTCTTACTAAAATACACTGCATTTCCGTGCAGAGAAAACCAAAATCTACTCATCAGAAGTAGGCTTTATTACAGAAATGATAGCTATTTCTTGCTGCGTGGAGTGAGAGTCACTGACTGGCTTTACAACTGCTTTTGAGACCTTTAGCACAGTCAACTGCCCTTCCTTGATATTTGGTCATATTCTCAATCAAGAAAGCTCTGGCACTTTTCTTTAAAATCCACTGATTTCAGTGAGAGCCTTAGAAATAACAAGGATAAACGGGTAAAACTAGGGCATGTTTTATTTTGCTGGAGAGGCAGCGTGGCATAGTGAGGAGCAAGAAGTATTATAGGCATCAAAGAGCGCTGGGTTCAAATGCTGTTCCATTGCATTTAGGCTGTGTGCTCCTAGGAAAATCATTTAACCTCACTAGCCCCAGATTCCTTATCTGAAAAATGGAGCTAATAATCTCCACGTTACCAGGTCATTTTGAGAAGAGTATTGGTAGGAAAAGTGTCTCTCATAGTGTCTGTCACATAGTAGGCACTCAATAAATGCTACCTGATATTACTTTACAAAATATTACTAAATATGCACATACACACACTTTTAAAGAATTGACTCTCTAATCTTTAGTGCTCGAGATTTAAATTCTGTAAACTAAATTTTTAAAGCTTCTGAAAATCTCCCTCACCCCAAATGTAAAGAAAGGCTATTTTGAGTTATCAGCTAAAGAAACCTGGGCAGCTTGTGGCATTTTCAGAGGTGTGCTAACCTGGCCAGAAGATGGATTCCATTCATTCTCTTTATGCCCTTGGTAATTTAATTCCCCTGTTGAGTTTATGGGTCTTTTCCTCCTTGATTGTCCTTGTGTGGGTGACAGAGGCACATCAACCAGGGGCTGAAGACTGAAAGAGTGAAGTCATGGAGAGAGGCCCCAAAGGAAACCAAATGGAAGATCTGTAAACCAGGCATCAAAATTAATACACTCTAACTTGTAATAACATTTGTGCAATAATAATACTCCTTTACAGTTTAATATTCTATTCAGCCCCTTTAAGAGATTGCCCTGGTGCTTAATGAATGACCGATGTTTATTAGGTTAAGTTGTATTTGAGCTGGCCTGTGCTGTTCTGGCTCAAGTAATTTAATGGGAATTATTTAATGGGTATTATTAGGATAATTAGAAAATGATCACAGTTAGGCAATAATACTGAGTTATAAAGGTTGTGAATAACCAAATTTAGAGACAGGCCTGAAAACATGAGTAGTCTGCGACAGTTATGCAAGTCTCCTCTAATAATTATGTGCGCCAGCCTGAAAGGGTCTTTTGTTCCTAGGAGTTATTCATTAGGCAGGCATTGAATTAGAGGAACATGCGGGGGTGCGGGACGGAGGGCAATGATGGCTGATGAGCAAAATGAGGCTTTGATGAGCTCCTAATTGTCGTGACAACAATTCCTGCTTTCTTTTTTCCCAACAGTCAGAAATAAGCTTCCCCGCCCCCGGGAAGGGTTTTTCCCCCATTTTGTCAAGGAAAAGGAAACAAAGAAAAATCCACCAATCCACCCCAGAAGACAAGTCATTATGTTCTGCAATGTGCGTGTGTGTGTGTGCACGCGCGTGCATGTGCACACTATGCATGGATGTCCTTGACAAAGGAATGGATTCCCCCTGGTGGTCCTGGCTGCCCAGAGTAAAGGACTAGCATATGCAGTGGCCTGATTGCCCTGGGCCTCACCTTTTGTAAGGAGACCAACCCAAGCTTTGCCAGCTACTTAGACTCTTCTTGGTCACGGCCCTGTTACCTACTGGTTTCTCGGATGTCAACGTTGTGCTCAGTGTTATGTACCGGGGCCATGGAATACCCCAACTTAGCAAAAGACCACCATTCAAATTTAGATAGTCTGCATAACAGAATTTGTGCTTTCTTTCGATACCTGGAGACAGGTAAAATCTGATGAAAACTGAGAGCGATTTTGAAGGAGGAAGGATTTATCCCCCGGGGAGGTGTGTGGGAATTATTCCTCCTTTATAACTTTAAAGGCTTCAGGGAAGGTTTACCAGATGGTTGTCTGCATTGAGCTTTTTTTTTTTTTTTTTAAGAACCAGATGGCTTCTGCTTCATAAACATGGAAGGATTTACAAAGAAAAATCAGAATACATGAGGCTGCCAGGAGGTGGCAGCAGGAGTACACATTATGACCAGAGAAACTGCAATGAAAAGCTAGTCAGGAAGAGGGAAGTAGTTTGGCTTACACTCTGTGGTTTTTATCTTGACTGCTGCTGAGGAACAGAAGGAATAATAATTTCCTGGATAATGTAATGGTGAGGTGTCTTGAAAAGAACACATGTTAGAGTCAGATGCTCCTGAGTTTGAATCCTCATGCCATTCATAGAGAATGGCCAGGAGTAACAAGACTCCAAAACTGATAGCTAAGCAAGCAAGGAACTTGGGTTGGTTTGCCACAACTCTGTGATTCACTTAAAGTCACACACTTCTGAGTTTGAATTCCAATGTGGTCATTATGCAGAAGTTACCTCGTGCTAAACTTTCTCACCTATAAAACGCACTAATAATACCAACCTTATAGGGATGGTATAAAAACAAGACTAAATGAAATAATGTTAGTAAAGCACCTTAAAAATTGGCTAGCATGTAATACATGTTCAAAAAGATTAATTTCTTTTCTTTTTTCGTACCCCTATTATTATAAAATACGGCTAGATGGTCAGCGATTTCTCAGATTGCATTTATTTATTTGTCCATTCGTTCACATTCATGTATAATGATACTCCCTAGAAGATATTTACACTAGTTTCTAAAATACATAAAATAGATAAATTTCACAGGCTTGGTCCATATTAGACTCATAATGTTAACCCCACCAAAAAAAAATTTTTTTTTGGTGAAAGAAGTTCAACAATGAGAACAAAATACTGATTCTGAGGTGTACTTCTCTGACAGCCTGCCATAATTTGGGGACAAATTTCAGGGAATGGACATCTTTTAGGTAACCTTTCACAATGATTTGTTTCATACCTGTACTGCAAAGCAGTCAGTTCAAGGCTCGTCAGTCATTACAGGTGGCTGATTGCTGTGCTCTGAAAGGTCATCAGGGCAGGGGAAGGGCTGAGATCCTTCTGTGGTCCTAGAGGAGACTGATTGTCTGAATACAGGGTGGCCATAAAACTGGAAGCACAGAAATTATAATTTCACCACATAATACAGAGGGATATGGTCAGAAAAGAACTCCGACCTCATAGAAATAGGAAAATGCATACAAAAATGATCAAGGAGAAAAACAATGTAAAAGTGAAGAGGCAATACCACCCTAACCTGAACCCAGCATAACCATAATCAAACTTAA